AGCGTTTACGTACACACATATTGTTGATTCTTACACTCGAGAATCTTCTACAACCTTAGAGATTGGGCGGGAGTTTCACAATACATATTTAACAGTATACGTTATGTACATTTCTAAATATTAATCTAACTTAAACAAATATCGATATTAAAATAAATATAGAATAATAAATCCGTCACAATGCTAACTTACTGTTCATTTAAACGTTCATTGTGCATGTTTATGAAGTTTGTAAACTCAGAACTTTGAAAGAATACTAAATAAAGCTTTTCGGGCTCCAAATGTATTAGGGCTAAGTAATAACCTTGGAATTATAAACAGTATTAGAATTAGGTTGCAAATAAATTTAAGCACTGTTTCTACACCAAGAAGAATGAAAGGCAAATAAATAACGATTTTAACAAGCACCCATGGCGATATCGCCTAGTGCGCAAAAGACCGATCATGGTACCTTTGAGCCTCTCACTACACACTGTCTTCAGATATTTTCTTGGAGTATAGCGATTAACGCGAAGGCTCGCCCTTCACAATGTTTTTTTTCTTTTCCTTTTTCAAAAAGCAAAATTTAGCATCAAGTAGCACAGAATGTGAAACCTTTTTTTACTTTTCCGCTGTATTTGATCTCCTTGTCTTTCAATACATTAGTTACGTAATAGTAATGGATTTTTAATTTATTATAACATACAACTATTGAATTAGATTTTGTTCAGAAGCATGGCTATCACCCTTTCAATTTGAATAACAGTTTTTCTTTCCTTAAATGAAGCCCCTTCTCACCCAGTGGTTCAACGTAAGTCTGCGGACTTATAACACTAAAAATATGTTTTAAATACCCATGGTGAGCACAACACAGATAGCCCATTGTATGACTTTGTGCTTAACTATAAACAAACCTAAAATAAAATAAAAAACACGATTTGATATAACGTTTATGGATGTTCTTTCATCAAAAATATTTTGAAGCTTCATCTAGAAATTCACATAGTATTACACTCAATAAAATTGTGTTTAAATATTTTTTAGAAATTGATGGGTTTTTTATTACAGGATACCGATGTATTTGTGACACGAACTTCTTTGGCAGACATTGTGAAAAATCAACATTTGGATTTCACCAGTATTCTTACATGAGCTTTCCTTCCTTAAAGCCCTCTACTAACGATATCTCACTTGTCTTATCCACAAACATGAAGAACTCCCTTCTCGTATATAACTTTGGCAGGCAGAATGGCGGACGATCCGACTTTTTTGCTATCGAAATCGTTGAAGGGAAAACACGCTTTTCTTTTGGTGCATCTCGCTCAGCTATAGCGTCAATCATGGCACGCCAAGACGTCGCAGATGGGAAGTGGCACAAGATAACTGTTATTCGGAATGGCAGGGTAAGTCTAATTGTTACACGGATTACCTTCTTATGTTGCTATCGACGGTTAAAAAACAACTTCTGTTTGTATTTTCTATCTGCGTCATTTTTTTTTATAAAATTATATTAACTTGCTAAAACATTAAACCTGAAATTATGTGTACCGCCGATTTAAGATAAAAATGTGAAACTTTTTTCACACTTAAAAACTAAGTTAAAAACAAACCACCTATAACATTTTTGTATATATTTTCATAAAAATAGTGCTTTCTCTAAAAGTATTAACTATGATTCTTTTACTATTTTTACTTTCAAACTAATGCTGTCTTTTCGTAAATGTTATAAAGAATCATATATCTTTTTGTAGGAAAAAAATATGTTATTTGGTTATCAGTACTTTACTTTTGAAGTGTTTGAAAAAGTCTGTATCTCTTAGAAAAGTGTAAAACGCGTCTAAATTATGACGCTGAAACTGGTAATTCCTTTACTGATTTTTCATTAATTTTTTTATAGGTGGCGTCTTTATCAGTGGTAGCTTGTAGGGAGAGTGGTGAGCTATGTGACGAATGTTCTCATGGAAACACGAACTGTTCTTTGTCTGTAACCGGGCATGCAGGGTAAGCTGACATTCGAGTACACTTATTAATATTATTTCTTTATATAAAAATATTTTCATGATTTTTATAATATGACACGCTCCAAACAATTCTCCTTACGATTACTATGAAAAATACATAGTACACATAGAATTTTGTTTTTATAACTGATGGACAGGATGAAAATATTTCCGCCAAAAAAAAAAAGAAAATAGTATGCAAATAGTTTCGTGAATCGTAAGATTCGTTAATCAAAAATAAAAGCACAAAACCATAAAAAACACTTGCATATGAGTAAGACACATTTGTTTTTATCAATCGATAAAGCTAAAATGATTTAAAATGTAAATACAAGTTGTAGAAAACATTTAACCTGTCAACTAATGCTAAGCCTACATTAACCTAAAAGCTCATAATTTGAAGATAACGATTCACATTTTCAACTTTATCGACGAAACATATGATACATATTCAGACTTGGTTTAAGTAGTTTTAATATATAAAGAACAGACAAATACAGCATAAAAAACAAAGTTCTCTGTCCAACTACATATTTGAGCATGCGGAATGCCAGTAGACAACCACCACTGAGATAATGCGATGCAGTTCAAATGAGGAAACACTTTAGATCTAGGGGTCTTTGTATATTAAACTGTTTCAACCAAGCCTGATGAGCTTTTGTTTTCTGAAAAGTGCAAAGTAGAATGTTGGCTTAGATTTTGCTTATACTCACGACTTTGAAAACTTTTACAACAATAGACATTTTGAAAGTATCAGACTTTCAGTTCGATTTAGCATGTGGACTTGTTCATTATGAGGTTGAAATAAGTAAAAAAAATTAAACTCTGCACTAAAAGCGAATGTTTAATTTTGTCATGAAAGAAAGGGAACCATAAATAATAACCACAATGCCAAACTATACTTGTTCACACAAAAGACAAGTATGAACAGTCGCTTAATACCCTGCTCAGTGATTTCGTACAAAACAACATGCCCATAAACATAACTTGTTATGTAGAAAAATTTAGGCAGTTGTCTTTTCCAAATGAAATATTTCTACATGACCAACCTGACTAAGGTTGCTGTCTCAAGTTGCATTTCATGTCGTGCAAAATCTTATTTTATCTAGTAATTAATTATAAAAGATCGATGTAAATATGTGGTTCAGTCTTTGACGTTTCATTTCAAAATGTGACTTCTATTTTAGAACCTTAAACTTTAATGGAAATACTATGTATCTGGGAGGCATTCCTGCAGTGGAACCTTTGCTTGAGAGGCCAGGTCAGGTGTCCAGCGACGATTTTATTGGCTGTATTCACAGTGTTTACGTAAATGGGCGTCAACTGGATTTGACATCACCACTTAAATCGAACCATATCACTCGTACATGCCCAAGATTAAAAGATGGTTGTACCACAAAACATGGATGTGGAAATACAGGAATTTGTCAAGATTTGTGGTTCTCTACGAGGTGTCTCTGTCCCAACCAAATTATTGCAGCAAACTGTAATGAGGGTAAGAAGTTCAAAAACAACTTTTGTAACTGTTTTCGAATACATTCTCTGAATGTTTCCTTCTAGTGAGAATAGCTAAAGCTCCTCAAAATTGTTTGAACAAATCAATTTTCTTAATGAATAGCCAATAAGAAGCGTTAATATTTAGAATGTAATGCATACAGCTACGGTATTTTAAAATTTCTTAAGTTTTGTTAGAATAAAATAAAGTTCAGAATGTGTAACACCCATTTAGAAAGATACGTTTTATCCTTGTCATTTGTACAAGATCAGAGGTCGATTTTGTTTCAAAATTATTTACATTTTAATTTCTGTCATCTTTTGACAGTGAATTTCTCTTTATACAACATATCAAGAGTGGTCAAAATTGAACACAAGAAATTAGTGTGTTAAGTGATAATCTATTATAAAACCTTGTAAGAAGCCCACTAATGACTTTCAATTTTTTTTTCTTTTGACAGTATTGTTATGATTTTGCGTGACATTTTGTGGTCTGAAAAGGTGTTCATCTTTCTTTCTTATATACTATGCAAATATAAATCATTTCCTAGCTCATCTTAACGCTTACAACGTACGCAATCTTAGTTGAAACGTGATTAATGCATCATTTTGCTTTGTTAAATTTTGCGCAAAGCAACTCGAGGGCTATCTGTGTTAACCGTCCCTAATTTAACAGTAATAGACTAGATGGAAGGCAGCTAGCGAAACAACCCATCGCCGACTTTTGGGCTACTTTAACCAACGAAAAGTGCGATTGACCGCAAATTATAACGCTCTCACGTCTGAAAGGGCAAGCACGCTCGGTTATAGGATTTGAACACAAGATCCGCAAATTGCGAGTTGCGTACCATAACCACCAGGCCTTCTTATGGTCTACATAATATTTAGATGTATTCCTATTATTCCCAAACTTTAAATGGCAGAAGCCTTTTTATTTTATTTTATTCATTTATTTTTATGAGAACTTCGTAAGAACCTGCAGGAAGTATGGCATCCCTGCTCCTCTATATATTTACATGCACCTATACATATTATTTTTACTGTTTACGTACATGGTATAAAAATGTTTTTGGTTAACACAATATATTATTTATATTATAGATTAAAACATTTATATTTTTAAAAGTTATTATATAATACAATATGAGACAATTTGTTCCTTATTTTTAAAATTGTGTTTAAATTTCCTTTAATAAATTTATTTTACTTTATTATAAACATTATAGTTTATATATAAAGACACATAACGTATATCATGCGGAGTTAAACATAATAATATATAGGAGTTTTATAATAAGAGTTGTATTTTACGAAACCAATCCTAAAGATGTAGGATAACTCCCAAAATATTTTTATAATAATTACTCATTGAGAGCCTCCTTATACTTGACAAGAAAACGACATGATTTTTTTGTTTTAAAAATATTTGATATTATTATAAAATTACATAAGTAATTTACTGAAAATAAATCAAAATTAATGTAACTCTATGGTATTGACATATATTATCTCAATATTACTCTTTACATGCGTAAGTTTGATTTATGCTCCAATCAAAGAGAACTCGCAGTTGGAGGATTGAAACAAAGCTTAATTGTTTTCCGCGTATAGCAGTAAGTCTTAGGGTTTATAACTGCAAAAATCGGGTTTCGAAAGCCGTTTGACCAGTTTTGCGCTTAACAACAAACAAACAAAAACTTCCGCGTATATTGTCGGCTGAGCGAGGCCTAGTGGTTAGTGTTTGGGACTATGAATTCGAAGCTCCTTCATCTGCGTCCAGATATCGCCAGAATGAAATCGCGCTCCGCACTTTGAGGCCATTGGTGCATTATAAGTGACGATGAAATCCCACTATTCAATTAAAGTAGTCCAGGAGTTGACAGTAGATGGTGTTGATTAGCTGCCTTCCCTCTGGTCTGTCACGTTAACATTAGAAATAGCTAGCACAGATAAACCTTGAGTAGCTTTGAGCGAAATTCAACAAACATATTACGTGTATAAATATTTTCCACAAAAGGTGTTTCACTTGACTATAGCACCACAATTAAGGAATTAATGAAAAAAACACAAGCTTTTGCTAATTCTCGTGCATATTGTTCTGAACTTGAATGAATACCTAGGATGTAACTATATAGCATCTTCCGTGCATTTCAACATTGGAAGTCATGCAATGTCATTTCTCTGCTTTGAGAATATTTATGATTTGAATGGCGCGTCTGTTTCGAACCACTTTATCTTTGTATATCCCCATCTTGCTTTATGTGTGTTTGTCTCTTACTATCTTACCTTATGTTTGTGAAACTGTACCTTGATCAAAGTTTTATAGAGTATCTTAAGCTTTTACAAAAAGCTTCATATCTAATGTAATTACAATTTCCATATTTTAATTATTTACAGTCGCATTTTCAGGCTAAATAATTTCTATTTTTTTTAACAATTTTTGATTTATAGAATTTGAAAAATAGCTTTCAGAAACTTACGAACAAAACTAATTCATTTTTTACTGATTCAAAAATTGTATTTTATCAGAGTTGGAAGTTTTCACGATATTTAACGTAGTAATTCTACTTCACAGCTTTAGAGCCTTTATCTTTTGATGATGATTCTGCATACTTGGAATTGATACCCCTAGAAAAATTACGTAGAACATCTCTTCTAACTGGACCCTATTACCACGTGCAACGGTGGAAGCACTCTGTGTCTGGCCTTAACCCTTCTGGAACAAAAACTGTTGCATTTTCATTCCGAACTAAGTCAAAAAATGGCCTGTTGTTGCATGCTACGACAAAAAACGAAGGGTTTACTATTTTACAGGTATGGAATTTCTAGAAAATTAAAAACTTTATATGTTTTGCATAGTAAAAAATTATTTTTGTATATTAGTATATTCAGATTTATGTGCATGTGTGTAATTAATTAAGAGCTACAAAGAATGTATATTGCATTACCGAGTGAACATTTTAACCAAAATTAACAACTAAAGAAGGCAGTAGGTAAACTCTTCTTTTCCATGAAATTTCTGTCACTTGAGAAATTTTGAAGGTTAGATATATTTTTAGCCGCGGCATAGCGGCTCATAGAATGGCTCCGAGTTTTGTGTTTTGTAATTTCAAGTACAAACTAGTAGCTCATAGCTTCGTCATCTCTTGACTGATTTGAGATATAATTACAGTTTTCGACTCAGGAGGTCAAACCCTTTCGATTGATATATTTGACCACGCCCAAGGTCTCATAGATTAATTTATTCTAATCCTGCCAAAAACAATTTCAATTTGAGGCTAGGCTTGTAGAGATCCTGATGAGTAATAAAATCGAATCTGGTATCCGCCCCCCCCCCCCCCCACGCTTCGTATTGTTGCGTATCTGCTTGTTTGATCATTTCCGGTAAAAATTCTTTCCGAGTGACTTCAGCGATACAAGTCCCTTCTTGATTAAAACTAGTTTATTCTTTCTCGATACAAACTTTGTAATACACTTAACTTCCACGGTCACTTTAAACTTAATAACCTTTATAACACACGCTAAAAACACAGTGATTCACACACTCTACTTACGGTGCCTATTGTTCGCTTGACTCAATTATCTATCTATCTCTTCAATCTATCTATATCTCTTCTATCGCTGGCTTTATTTGCCGGGCTTATATACTAAAAAAGAGGGCGTCTGGAACAAACTAGAGTTGCCAAGAATATTCATGATCCTTCGAGAAACTCCAGCGCGCATGCTCCCAGCGTTGTGTGACTTCCGCTGTCGTAACAGTATTGCTGGCGCACAAAAATATAGCAATAGAAAGGGAAACAAAGGTCTCATAGTAATATACTCTAATCCTGCCTAAAAGAATTTCAAATGCCGCGACTATTAAGGATTCCCTCCTTTTTTTCTTATGTCATGACGTTTTTTTACAGAGTAGATAATTTTTAACTGAAGATCTGTAATACAGACACAATTTAATAGTAACGAGTTTGATTGTCCCTGTTCATCAACAATTTCAGTTTCTTTCTGCGGTTGTAAATATACTACTGCTTTTACATATAACGCACTCATTCATAATAAATTATATTTATAACAAAAAGACACTGCATAGTGAACGTAAGCTTATATATATTAGAAGTGTATAAATTATTACCGTGTACTATACAAGTTAAGACTAATCCTTAGTTTTACCAATATATTTCAGTTTTTACTGCGTTATCAGTCATTTTCAGTCAGTTGTGTGTGTGTCAGAAAAGATAATGTATATTTACAGTTTTATCGCCAGTGGTAAAAATAAACATTTTTAAAATAAATCTAAATCTCGGTTTCTAAGAAAGATAACTTCGTTCAAAGCAGCAGCATATTTCATTATAACTGTTTATTAAAGCTTTCTTGAACAGAGTTACGTAAGTTATATCTTAAACTCGAATAATAAACACACCTGGTAACCGAGTCTAATATTTAACTGTCGATATATGCAATATTTTTCTTGTTATAAGAAGACTGCAGATACCATTTTTTTAACACACGTATAGTGAACCCGAACTTTTATTTTTGAGTATTAAATGAATGTTTGAAAATAGATACTAGAAAGAATTTGTGTAAACACGAATGTTCTATTAATCTTTTTTGAACCTACTGTCCTCAAAAATCAGGACTGATTAAATTCAATTAAAATAGCTTTGTGAAACCAAAACAGATGTTTAAGTTTTTATACTTCCAGAATGTATGACCAGTTAAAAACAAGTAGTGACTCACCAAAAGCATCTTTAAGTGAATGATAATTTATTTTACCCTTGCTGGCCGCCAGAGGGCTATCTTTGTTCCAATATTATGTAAATTCATTTTGCTTAAAGTTTACTAAACAACTAAATAATCGTAGCATTTGTTAGAAGTATTAACAATAATTTAACAGTGAATTCTTATGAAGGAAGGTATTCCTTTAAAAACTGTCTGGGTTATAAGGTTCTTTATTATAGGCAATGTTTTTGGTCAATCTATAGCTCAGAAATGGTCATCTGGAATATAAATCTCAGCAGAAGATTGGAGATCCTGTTAACCTGGTTCTAGATGGAATTGATGCTGCAGATGGTATGTGGCATGAAGTGATACTGACACTCAGCAACAATAACTTCAATGTATCCATAGATCAAGAGTGGAATGGATTAGAGACTGAACAAAAGGTCCACGACCTCCTGGATCCTTACCTGACTGTGTTGACGATGGGATTACACCCAGACGAGGAAGCAAAAGACGACAATTTAGTAGCAGGTAATGAAAAGTTTAGACTTAATTGTGAATTTGCTTAAAATGCTCACTAACTTGCCGAAAAATCTATTTGTTGACACGAAATTATATTACATTGTTATAACTGATGAGGACTTTTAAAAAGAACCAGTACCTTACCATTACACAAATACATGTATATTCAATATTGATAAGCACATTTTATATGTAAATATACATCTAAAGTTCTTGAGCAAATTTTCATCCATAATTAAAACTTGTCTTCACATTTTTATTAATCTCTGGTGTTTTATTAAAACGTTAGAGCGCAGTTATTATTATAAGGTTTAAAAATTTAGGCCACAAAATTACATAAATAATTTGTCTTGAAAATCCCTTTTAAAACTATATTCATTTAGATACTTTATTCAGATACTTTCTTGGATGATATTCAGTATAAAATTAAATACTTTAATAGTTGTTCATGTTAATCCATTATAGCACTTTCTTGGAATATTTACTTATCTATTTTATGTTATTATACAGGTTTTCAAGGATGTCTCTCTTCAATAATAGTCAACGGAGAAGTTCAAAATTTGAATGTAACGAATAGTTACTTTAAAGTGGTACCTCGTGGAATTATCTATAGAGGATGTACTGATGAAGCTCTTGGATTCGATGTTGCCCCTACCGACCCACTTAGCATAGGAGTTATATTGGTGATTGTGTTTTTTGTCATTCTTATAGTAGTTATCTTAGTCAGTTTTCTAGTCTTTCGAAGAAGAAAGCTTTGCCGAGATAAAAACCATAGTCATATCAAACAAAATGGGAATGCCTTCTTGACATCAACTAACGGTGACAGCCAGCGTTCTAATCAGGATCCAAGTTACGTCGAAAATATGGGAACTGAAGATGTAATAAGAAACCACATATCACAAGAATTAGTGCCAAAAAAGATGAAAGATCGAGAAGTCTTGACAGAACGCCCTCAACGCCCAGATATCATAGAAAGAGAAGTCATTAAAAGATCACCTGCAATGTCACCTCAATGTTCAGAGAATAATTCACATCAGGACAACCCTAAACCTTCTAATGGATTTGGAATGGGTAATATTCCTGATTCAGAACCTCCCGAACATTACGATCTTGAAAATGCAAGCAGTATTGCGCCATCAGACATCGATATAGTCTATCATTATAAAGGGTTTCGAGATGGTAATGTAAGAAAGTACAAAACTAATTCTCATATACCAAACTACCACAAACATAATCACAGACATAGTCCTCATCAGTTCCAACCTAGTCCAATTAGGGAGAGTCCTCGCAATGTTATACCACAGAATCCATCTTCTATCCCTCCAAGAGAAAGTCCATCAGCATTAAAAATGCAAAATACTCCATTAGCGCGGTTAAGCCCTTCTAGTGAATTATCTCAACAAACCCCTCGTATTCTGACTTTACAAGATATCAGTGGGAAACCCCTACAGACAGCGTTACTAGCAACATCCCAAGGGGTGAGTCCCGAAGGCTATAAGGATCCAATAATGAACTCTGAAAGAAGCCTCAACAGCCCTGTCAGCAATCTCAGCCACAATACAGGAAGCCTTCATTCCCGTCCACAGTCAGGAAGGAAGAGAAACATCAGAGAAGGTGGAATTTCTTTAGGTTTAACAGCTGAAGAAATAGAACGATTAAACGCACGCCCACGAAATTCGAGTCTTGTTAGCACATTGGATGCAGTTTCTTTATCTAGCGATGATAATCCAGAGAAAACCAAACTTGCAGAACTTTTAGAGACAAATACCGAACTTCTGGAACCTCCTGATTCATCTACAGATGAGAGTGGAAACGATTCCTTCACATGCTCCGAGTTTGAATATGATAATAATTACGAGAAGGTACACAGGGATTTTGGGCGAGGTAATATGATATTTTCGAAATTAGCTGAGGAAGACAATGAAAATGATGAAGATTCAGCTAAAACATACGATGGGTTTGACTCAATTAGAGGATCCCTTAGCACTCTTGTGGCTTCTGATGACGATATCTCTAACGTGTCCTCATACAAACCAGCAAATGGGTCTGTATTAGGCTGGGATTATCTTCTGAATTGGGGTCCAAACTTTCAGAGTTTAGTAGGAGTGTTTAAAGACATTGCACAGTTGCCTGATACAGCACATTCGGCTACCGGGCATTCAAAGCCAAACGAAGAATATGTGTGACATAATATTTAACTTATATATGTATTTTTTAAGTATGTTCACACAAGCATGTGAATTGACATTGTAAAATGCCCTAGAGGTATTTTCTTTATAGGAGAATGGTTTATGACGAGAAGGATGTTCACGAGTGGAATTATTACTCTTGGTTTGTATATACCAACCTACTTTAAACGGCTATGGCCAAAAGACGATACTCACTGTGCTGGTATTGTGAATGATTATTGTGTTATTTGTATACTTACTGTTAAATGTTTTATGAAACAAGGATCACGTACCTCAACAGTCAAACCTAGTCAAACAAGTATACTTGCAAAAATGAACATTTTTTGTTGTTATAGTTGTTTTAGGCTTCGGTTCCCCATTGTAACTGTAGCTCTTTCTCATGATCAGTTGAATTTTTTAATGTTTAGGTATACTGAAGTAGCAATTTCTTGATGTAGAATTAACATATTACTGATGTAGAAATATTGAGAAGAATCCAGTGTCAAAATATTTTGCTTCTTTGTATTTTTCTCTTCATCGTACAAAATATAACATTTACAACGTTACTTGTATTTGTTTAATACCTGTATAATAGAAATAATATTTTATGCTCTACCGACTTAACTACAAGATATTCTGGTAAAAATAATATTTGGCATATCTATACTTTAGAATTTATATTATTAATATTGCCTATCTGGATACGTTAAACATCAAACTATTCAACAAATAAACAGTCGGTAATACTATTGTATTAATTTTTAAAGATTGATCTTGGTCTTCAGTCAAAGATTGCTTGAATTGTAGATTTTAAAAGTGAGAGTAGCGGTTTAAAATAAATTAATTGTAATATTGTAGTTAAACTTTTTCTATTGACAGGTATGAAACGTATGTAAAAGATTTTGTTAAAAAAAACTGGATACAGCAAGTTTTATGAAAATCATATTCCAATATGCTGTAATGAGAGCTGTTAATCCAGTGGTTTCAACTACAGTTCGAAAAATTGTTACAGACGTTCCTTTTTGTATCATTTTTCTCTGGTTGTCACATAGTGCCAATAAATGTGCAGTTTTTTAATGCTCATCTCAATCTTCAATAAAACACACACGAAATTATTTGCTAGTTTAATCTTCTTGTTACTGATTTAAGAACCTAACAAGATTATTAAAAAAATTTATTTAAAAAGACTGAATTGGGATCGTCAAAAATACAGAAACAAGATAGGTAGCTTAAAGTGAAAAAAGTAAACAAACAAGCTTAAGGTTTGAGACATAGTGTTGACATTATTTCCTCAAGCTGGTGGAGGAACCACGATTAACTCTATATCGATGAAACGTAGAATGTTTGTAATTACCGTAAGACCAACGAAATAAGTGTCGCATCTAGTGAGGATATCATTGCAAGTAATACAGGGTTGAGTAGTTACACCAAAACAACAATGAATAAAGAAATATGCGAGCCACGTGACAAATACAGGCAATACAAAATCGAATGGAACGTCATATATCAGAACAACATTTTGGCATTGTTGATTTTTCGTAGGCACCATGAAGCCACTGAAAATGATCGCTTTTGGGAAGGGCATGTAATAGCCGTTTCCGACACAAAACATTCATGCACTCAGATTATAAAGATGTGTTCATATCGGGATTTAGAATTTCCAAAACGAGAATATCCGTTGTACTTAATGACTTTCGAAAAGAAAGGAATATGGATAAACTTGGGGAACCAGAATCATTCAGAAAAAGACACGTAGTAGGTCGTGTCTTAGACTTAGTAATCAACGTGCGGCATTTTCTAACAAATTGGATTCCAAGAACAAAAAAGTAGGGGACAAAAGCCTTCCAACCAGACAACAGTATGTAGTATCATGCAGGGTTATTTTCATGATGCAAGGTCATCAGATAGAACAGGACCAGACGTTGTGACATGAGATTTAATCACGTGATGAGGCTCCACATTCGTTTTAATATTACGCATTTTATCCTATGTATTACATTTTAAATGATTTTCAAGCATTGATCACACTTAGTGATATTATGATATATACAGTTTGCTGTCCCCTTCTATTATACTGATGCTATTTTATTGTGAATTAGATTATTTTGAAATACAAAGAAAAACAACAACAAAAAAGTCCTTAAATGCAGTACAAACTTAGAAAATATAGTTATCATTAGATTCTAAAATGGTTTTACCAAAAATTTAAATAAATGTTCGAGGTATACTAAAGCTTTGATATGAAAGTTGACGCTTCAATTAAAATATATATAAAAAGATTTCAGTATAATATTTACACATAATTATTGTGTGTTTACAATTATATAATAAAATTACATTTAAAACGTCTCACTAAACGTGATGTTGTTTTTCTTGTCAAAGGATGCAGGAATAACAAACAGGATCAAGACTGTGCGTTCAAAGCTTGTTAATTCGGTTTCGTATAACATGTATAAACAGTTAAAATAGTGAAATGTCCATTTTATTTTACACACACACACTCTCACAAAAATCTTTCTTTTTGTTTGGAATACATATTTCAAATTTCTCCTAATTGCTAAACGTATTTTTCTTCTTACAACAGGCAAGTGTTAATAATGCCAATGAAACTCATAACCAGACAAATTATTTTTTAGTGAATCTGTACCTTAAAATAACCACATAATATTATTTGCCCAAAGTAAACCAGTAAAAGTTCACAATCAAAATATCATAAATATGAAATATTGTAGAAAAAAATTATCTCGGTTGGTACAATTGTGCACAATATTTTAAAGTTAGCAAGTAATAGTGATTAAAGATGTATGTTATGTTTCAATATATGCTAAGGAAGTCATTCATTAATATATTTTAAACTAGCTGAAGTATCCGTCCCCTGGACAGAAATTATGTAAATTCATGATTAATGAAAGGTTATCTTAGGACATGAAAAGTTACTTCTCTTATATGTAATCGTAAAAAACGAAAAAACGCCAATAAAAAACTGCAAAACGCGAAATGCAAAACTGAAAATTTTTTTATGTATCTTCCCACGGACCCATTGTGAACCTCCATATCAAATTTGGTGAACATCCATCAACAGGGGGCGAAGTAGTGGTAAAAAACGCAAAGTGCAAAACTGAAAATTTGTATGTATGCCCGCGTGGACCTAATGAACCTCCATACCAATTTTGGTGAAGATCCATCCACACTCTGCCAAGTAGTACAATTATATTTATATAGATTTTAATAACTAACAACTACATGTATTTTCATTTTGATTCTCTACTATCACCACAAACGCACAAACTTCATAACATTTATACCAACGTACAAGTTTCTATTAAGATCTTCTCCAAGGCTTCGAAAACATTGAAGCAGTACATTTTATTGTGCAAGTTTACATTCAGCAAAGACAGCGTGCTACAATTTAGTTTTAATTCTATTGGTTATAATACCTTTATATTAGAGTTTTGAAACATAAGTTCATTCGTTTCTTATTAAAAGCTGTTAAGCTGGAACTGTTAGTATTTAGTTGAAATAAAGTTCTAATTTATATATGGCAGATGCTGGTATTGCAATCCAAGAACAAATACTGTTATCCAATGGCGTGCCTACTTTTGTTACTGCAACCAGGAAAGTTCCCATCCGTGTTTATTTAAGTACGTAAATATGGGATAGCAAATAGTTCTGCTGCAGTTCAACCCGTGATATTTGATAGGATCGTTCGAATAACTGTTTGTTTGTTTGTTTGTCGAGTGTACGACCAAATGAGGTGATTTTTCCCTGGCAATGTGTTCCTTGGCAAGCTGTATAAGTACTGTTGAACCGTGTACTATAGTTCGTCTTCTTTATCTTACTATGTCAACACTCATGGAAACTGAATGCAAAATCTGTTCTACTTTTCCGTTGTTATTATGGAAGGATCTACAATAGAATTTTAAACAGTTATAATATTGTTCTTGAATATTAAATTAACATTTTTTTTTCACTTCCTGTTTCGTGAAACATGTACTTTATAGTGTATATTAGTAATAACCAGGCGATTTATTTGTTTATTTTAGCGTTAAACTACAAAATGTGCTATTTGCACTCTGTTCACCACGGGGAATATAACTCCAAATTTTAGCGTTTTACTACTTACGTTTCAACAAGGAAGAAATGAAAATGAACAACTGCAGGAAAAATTGTTCTATATTTATATAGCATAGTGTGAATAGTTATGTGTTACTACTGATTTCCATAAATCTAATTTCTGTGATTCCTACTTAAAATAATTAATTAAACGTCATGGAAAATTTCATAAAGAATGAAAAACATTTCGAGAATTATATTTTACATTTCTTTCATGACTTTGAGCTTAATTTAATTATTTTTCAATACATTGAAGTAATATCATAATTACCTTGTTTTTCTAAGGTGCTGACTAAAATAGTTTGAAAAGAAACATTCATCAAGAACATCAAAATCGGCAAATAAAGTGAATTTAATCTAAATATACTATCCACAAATACCACACTTTGGCAACCATTTACAAGATAAAACTTGTAAGCCAGGTAAAACTATATTTACTGATTTGTCTCACACAGTTTCGAAATGTAATTCTAAAAGCATATATTTACCTTTTAGCGGAATAATGAAATTCAAGTGCTAAATTATTTGTAGTTAATTAGTTTAAAGTATTATATTTATGGCCAAGCAACTAACGCTATCTACCGCCGTGCCTAATGTTGAACTATTGACCAGAATCAGCACCCTACCACCCACGCTAAGGAATTGACTGTCGCTCTTCTAACGCACCCACAGTTTAAAACGCTGTTACTAGACTGTGAATAGTCGCACGTATTCGAACACTGCTCGTTATCTCCGAAATCTAGAGCTCTAACACCGGATCAGCCCACGCTGATTGTTAAAATAATTCTTCGTAACTAAGAGGTATAGCAACATACTTCTGTCGTTTTCTGGATCAACTCAAATACTTTAAAAATGCTAAGCTTAATTTAAAGAAGCTACAATAATTTTCATACAAAAAATAAAAGATAGCGATTTATGTGGCAGATTGTGTTTCTAGAGATTGCTCTATGTTATCATAAAAAACGAAATTTCAGTGGCTCGTGTACTAAAACATAATTATTCTGTTTGCAACAATATATTACCCTTTTATAAATTTCTAATCCAAATGTAATTAAGAAATACCTTTTTCTATGGTACTATTTCGTAACTTACATTCCTTAGCCCATTCAACTAAAAGCATTTTTATTCCTAAATTAAATGGCTGTTGTGTCAGATCTAACGATCACAAAAATTAACGTAATCGATAAATATCAAATAAATTTATTAAATTAAATTAAATTAAAGCAGCATCGTTTTTGGATTATAAACAGAAAAGTGAAGATCTAATATCATTGTATATTTGTGTAGATAATTCTATATGTACAAATAAATATTACCGAAAAAACTAAAGACTGTATAAACTGTTCCCAATCATTGTTAAAATTTCTTATAAAAGATGTCTAAAGAGCTTAAAGTTAGCATAACAGTTATAGTATATCAATCACGCCAGTAATTTATGTAATTAAATCATGTAAAAAAAAGTGAGAACAGTCATTTTACTGCTGTATTTGTTTTAGCGACCGATGAATATCAGCCACCAAATTCCAAGACAAAGATCTATATTTTAACATGCAAAGATATTCGATTGACAGTTTTCTTGTTTATCTTTATATAATTATACTGAAATAACAACTTACCACGATCAATTCAAATGAATGAATTACCAACAAACATCAATACAGTTTTTCAAATGATGTATTGAAATACGTAGTGTTTCAAGACAATATCCAAAATGATAAATACGAACAGTCCAAAGCATACTTAGAAAAAAAGAAAAATGATTTAAGTAAGAGTCGATTCTTCATCATTATTAGATGTGTTGTCGTTACTAAATTGTGCAAGCGTTTAAGAATATTAACACACAAGGAACTACGGTAGTGGTGACAGTACAAAGACTTTATTACATCACACACCTAATAAAAATCCAATAGAATTGTTTCAGATATTTTTGACAAGGTATTGCAGAAAAGTATGAATGGTTTTCATTATCTTTTCACACAACATACAAAATCGAAATTCATTCTCAGTGCCTTTTAATATAATATTATAATCTAAAACTATGTACAGAAACCAATAACATAGTGGATGTTACAAACTGTTCTAAACTGCTAAGAGGGGTTAACTTTGGCGCTTTGAGGGGCTCGGGCTTAGCTCTGATATAACTTTTGTCATTTTGTGAAACGCTGATTTGGTGTATTACAAGACATTTTATAGCCGGTATTTGGCATTGTAAAAGCAAAACTTCACATATTTGTCACAAACTTTCCCACATTAGCTTGTTATTGGTTTCTTCTTAATATATATGCTCTCAACTGCGTCGATTGGCTTCGATTTAGAAGAACAACATTAGAAATGAGAGGAAGAAAAAAGAAAAAATCACGAGTCAGCAAATTCACTTCTACAATTCATTACATCCGGATCGTGTGTTGTCAGTTAATGGGAATGTGGTTTAAACAGTTGATTTCGGTTGGGAATGTGTATTGGATTTTCCAGTTACACGGTATCATCATTAGAGTGTGAGGTTCATTTTTGTAACGTCGATGAGTTTGTCTATTGTAATTTCCAATTTTCCTCCTCAACTCTAAATTCAAACTTACCGAAGAGCAGGGTGCTAAGTTAGTTAATTCTCCTTATTTTCCAGAAGATTTTATTGTTAATAATTATTATGAAATTTTCAAACTAACTGCTCATTAACTGACAACACCTGTTCTCAGAAGCCGGGATTTCTACAAGCCTGGTTCGTGTTCAAAACATGAACCAGGCAACCACTGGTCTTAACGTAGACATTACGTCACTTAAGAGCAATCGCGCCCACACATTTCATCTGCCCTTGTCAGCATCTTCTTCCCTCTTGTATATTCTTGCTTTCGATTTTTTCTTGTACTTGCCCAACAATTCAGGAAGGTCGTAGGCAATGGAAATATCCAGCTTATCCAACGGGCAACCCATAAAATAGCTGCAAGTGGAAGCCAAGGGTTTGAACTCGTACAGAGCGTGTAAACGGAAAAAGTCTCGATAAATAAGAGGGTCAGGAAGGTCGTACCGACTGATGTTCGTTAGGCTGCTCAGCCCTTGATAAATATTGTACTGATTGGGGTGTTCAGTAATGTCATCAGCCACCTTTTTCTTGTTGCTGAAGATACCTTTGTGTTTGTAGTAGGTAGCTAAGTAACAGTCTACCATCTTGGCATGGTTTCGTACTCGTACGGCGTGGCGTCGAGTAAAAGCGATTCTATTCTCCACTCTCTTGTCGATCACTTCTCGTAGGTCATTTAACAGCGCCCTCTCTTGATCCATCAAGAAGTTCGCAGAAGTCCATGGTTGGAAAGGTTTGCTCATTAGAGAAACAGCATAGATGACAGGGGCTTCCGAACTACCCATCAGTGGAGAAAGGTTCCAGAAAAGCTGGCCTACGACTTTCATCAACTCACTGCGGCGAATACTATCCGCCTTGTTTAAAATAAAGCGAATCTGTGCTTCTCTTCCTTTCAGTTGATCTAAAATAGCTTCCATCTCACTGCCAATCTCCAGTTTAAATGGGTCGAATACAACGTAAATGGCGTCGGCGTGGTCAATAAACCACTGGAAGACGTCGTTAAACGGGTAACCTCTATTTTGGTATCTTCGGTTTTCGTTAATCCCGGGAGTATCAAGAAGCGTCACCTATTAAAAAGAAAAAAAAAGAGAGATTATATTTGAACTAGGTAAAATAATTTACCTAATTATTTTCCATTAAATCTCTTTCAAACAGCTGGATTTTTAAAGAAGTTTACTTGATAGTTTTCCAAATGAATCTCCAATAAGGGAAGGTATAATATTTGTTGTATTTATAAGTACCTTCTTCAAAAGAGGATTATTCATTCGGACGCCTTTGAAATGGTCCAAGAAAGACTGTCCAAATTTTTGTACACTGGCAAATGACCAATCCGCGGCCAGTTCCGTGCCGCTTAATTTCTGGGGCTCGTTTCCATACGTGATGACAGTAAAGTCTGTGTCTGTAGGCTCAGGTGCTGAAATTTTCCAAGGAGTTAGATCACTGTAGGTTCAGGTGCTGGAATTGTCCAAATGGTTAGATCACAGTAAACTAAGTAAGTTATTATTAGTACAAACTAATTCGTAGGTGGTCAAACATTATTTTCTGATATAAGCATTTTTAGTTTTAAAGTACATATAAACTTTTAACATTTTTTTTTTCCAACAGGATTCAATAGACTAACTCTGTAGCTTATCTAATCCAAGTTAATCAGGTTAAAGAAGAAGTTTATGATCCAGTTCCAGGTAGTTTTCTAGTACAGTACATGTCCTCTGAAAACAAGAACATCTAAAAACTTAACTGGTAAACGATAACTTTTTCAGCTTATACTAACACCGACATTGAACTAACATTTCTCCCCAAAACAACAAAAGTACAAACAAAATATATATACATGTCAAAAGTTAGCCAGTTGATTTACAATTTAGTTTGAAAATATAAAATCTGCGAAATCAGGCTTATCGAGAGTATAGGTTTGAAAATGTCTAGGGTTTATGTTATATTTAAATTTAGATACACTTTTTAATACATTTCACTGTTTATACATAACGTTAATCATTTTCAACAGAATAATTCCATAAAGAAATAGCTACAAATACAAATTGAAACAAGTAACTGACAAACGTTTGTATATGTTTCCATATCTCTGTGTATTTGTTTATCTTTACCATGCTAATACAATACCTTCCTTTCTAGCCGCAGGACTTCTTTCAATACCCAGAAGGTAGTTGATAATGCTGCTTTTTCCGGCGCTCCAGGGGCCAAGAAATAAGACTTGGGGTGTCGAGTAGATTTCAGCATCTATAATATTGCACTTTTCTATTACAAAAAATTGTAACATGCTTCAATTTAGCTAATATATACCTTCAAAGCAGCATAAATCATTTTTGTATTATTAACTTTGCTATATAAATAAGTTTTGTATTTAATAAAACTGAAAATTGCAAAGGAATTTAAATATTCTGGATTTCTGAACTAAATCGCTGACAAATTGTAATTTTCATTGATTGATGGAAAATGATTATGCACGTTGTGACCTAGTCTTGGTCTCACATACTATGACTTGAAAATAATTCTTATCTTTTCTTCAACTCCATTTGAAACGAAGCGTTCATTGTTTGTTTGTTTGTTTTTGAATTTCGCGCAAAGCTACACGAGGGCTATCTGCGCTAGCCGTCCCTAATTTAGCAGTGTAAGACTAGAGGGAAGGCAGCTAGTCATGATCACCCACCGCCAACTCTTGGGCTACTCTTTCACCAACGAATAGTGGGATTGATCGTCACATTATAACGCCCCCACGGATGAAAGGGCGAGCATGTTTGGTGTGACAGGGATTCGAACCCGCGACCTTCAGATTGTGAGTCGAGTGCCTTAACCACCTGGCCATGCCGGGCCGAAGCGTTCATCATAACTAGAAAAGTAGCATATTGAAACCACATATATTTGGTAAATACACCATATGAATTATTCACTGCACTAAATAGAACAATACTAAACTGGAATACTAAAAGTTAGCACATGGATCTACTCCTCTAATTTACTTACAGTTTCACGAGGAGGTGAAAATTCAATATATTAATATAATTAACAACACTTTAAGTGCACTGAAATACACCTTGTACAATCTGATCATATGCTACGTTAATTTCAAGGATAAAAATAATATTGTCACTAGAACACATGAAAAGACAAAAAACAGTATAAACAAAACATAACGTACCTCCCAATTGTCGAGTGGTGATTTCCCTGAACTTATAAATGTTTTCCAGAGGTTTAACAGCTGAGATATACATTTTTTTAAGTTCGTTGAGAATGTTCTGAATTAATTCCTGTTCTTCTTTGTCCATTTGGGTTCCGATCTCGTCTACTCCTAGGATTTCGTCGATATGTCTTCTTGAACGCGGTGGAATTCTCTTGGTAGTTAATTCTTCTTCGTCATCGCCTTCAGTTCCTATTTCCTCATCATCTTTCTTCATCACTAACTTATTGTCTTGTTCCTCCTCTTTTTCTTTTTCCTGTACAATGTTCTCGGATTGCTCAGATGAGGTGTCTTCTGAAGGAAGTTCCTGTTCCATTCCAGCTCCAACTTCAGAGGGCGCTTCTGTAGCTTTCTAAGAAGAACGTCAGCTTTGCGCAATTTAAACCAATTACAGCAATATTACTCACCAATATACTTCCTTCAAAAATTAATCCTACCCATATGATATTACACTGTTCCTTTAATCCTTTTATGATGCTAAAATACTACTATGAGTAAGCCAAAATAATAATAATTTTTATTATTTTCACGAAATCAATCGGAATAAAAAACATAATAATAATATACCCCTTTCAAAAAAATAAATAAAAATATATTTCTAAAAACACTTATAAATATGTTTCCCAGCTCAGAGTCCTTTTATTTTTTACCATTAGCAACAAGGGTATCCAACTGATGAAACAATGCATTCTAACGTTTATAAATATCAGTGTAAGCAAAGTATATTTAATGAGCTATATTCATTATTAATACTAGTTTAAACTTTAGTTTCGATCCATTTAAGTAGCTTGCTCTGATCGAAAATTAATATCAGTATGACCTAGTACCGCAGGACTTGAATTTTGTTTGTTTGTTTCTTTGTAATTAAGCACATAGCTACACAATGGGCTATCTGTGCTCGGCCCACCACGGGTATCGAAACCCGGATTCTAGCGTTTTAAGACCGCAATCATACCCCCTGTGCTACTGGGGGACGGGCTTGAATTGTTTTATAGTTTTATTCTGTCTTAATGAATCAAAACTGTTATCGTATTAAAACCTTTATTGAGTTTTCGGTGCTTTGCTAACGATAATGATCTTACATTTGATTGTTTTAAAAAGTACTTTTACGTTTTGCAGTGTCTTTTTTTCTGCTATCAGTGTCATAACTTTAGCTGTAAGTGTTCTCATGATTTTTTTTATTTATTTATTAAGCACAAAGCTCAACAATGGGCTATCTGTGCTGTGTCCATCAAAGGTATCGAAACACGGTTTTTAGCGTTATAAGCCTTCAGTCTTACCGCTGAGCCACTGGGGCATGTGTTCTTAAGAAATAATTATTAAGTGAAACAGTATGAACTAAAATAAAAAAAGGAAATACGTTTTAGCTGTATGATTTATCTTCTCTGTTATTTTTAAAGTAACATTAATTTCTGTGCTTTTCCGGTAAAATGTTCTCTACAGATACATCCATTTTTATATTTTAAAGAAGCGAAATTGGTCCAAATTGCTCGTTGATTGTAAAACAACTATGCTCGTTTGAATCATATATATAAGTAGCTTATTTTACTAATTTGAAAACGGGAATTCAAGAGGCAAATGTTATAGAGAAAATTTCAACAGAAATGCACACAGCGTGATGCGTTACAAAATTTTCTATTCGTTTTAAGGAACTCGCTTAGAATGTTATGATTAAAGATTTAACTTACTGTTTTCATTAATCGTATTAAAACACATCATAACGAAGAATACCATTAAGAATATCCTCCATTTAACGGTAAAAGTATGAGGATCTTTGTTTACTTACACCATTAACAAACATAGCCTTCATTGATAATATTTAACAGTAAAAGTATGAGTACCTTTGTTTACTTACACCATTAACAAGCATAGCCTTCATTGGTTAATACTTAAAAGTAAAAGTATGAGGACCTTTGCTTACTTACGCCCTTATCAAATATAGCCATAAATGAATCATAACTTTCGCATTTTTTAATCATAATTTTAGGTGTGCAATTGAAATAAGCTAGGTGTAAACAAACTACTTCTAGATAGCACGTCGTTGTAATGCATTTATCATATTTGATTACCGAAAAACCTTTATGAATTTCAAAATTCAAGTAAAAAATACTTAATATTTTTCATTTAAATAATATAAAATTAGCCTTTCGGTTAAACGTCGTTTTGGGATATTCATATAAGAGACTCTTCACCAGTCTTGACAACTGTACACAGTTTAGAATTAAAGAAGAAGATCATAGCCCTAGATATAAAAATATTTTTATACACATATGTTTGTTTCAGTTATGAGCATAATAAAAATATTTTATTTCTTCTAAAAATACCTGTACCTCGTCCCTTTCGCCCTCTTCCGCTATTGGTTCTTCTGCTTCATTTTCATCCTCCTGAGTTTTTTCTTCGGCAACTTCATCTTCCTCAGTACGTGATGTGTCCTCGATACGATCATCTTCACATGTAGTGCATTCTACGTCTTCTGATTCCTCTTGATTCACTGTACTATCTTCTTTAGGTGTGTACTCATCTTCAACTTCATCGACTTTATTTTCCATTGCATCTTCCACTTTGACTTTTTCTTCTTCTTCTTCAGCTGATTTCTCATCAACTATCTTATTGTCTTCTTCTTCTTCTTTGGCTAACACCTTTTCCTCTTCGGTTGACTCTTCTTCCTCAACCTCTTGAGAACCCTCTTCGGTTTCCATCTGTTCTTTAGCATCATCACTTTCATAATCGCTAATTTCTTCTTTTTCTTCTTCTTCTTCTTTTTCCTCAGTCACCTCTGGTTTAGTTTCATCTTCTGACTTTTCTAGTGAATCTTGCTCTTCAGACTCTTCTTCCTTGTTCTCAGCTACCTCTGGTTTAGTTTCATCTTCTGACTTTTCTAGCGAATCCTGCTCTTCAGACTCTTCTTCCTTTTCGTCAACTTGCATTTCTTTATCAGATTCGTCGTCGATTGAATCTTCATGTTCCAATGAAGAAATTTCGGACTCTTCTTCCTCGAGTTTTACTTTTTCGTCTTGACCACCAGTTGTTTCTTCAATATTATAATTTTTTAATTCTTCTTCTTCTTGCGAAGCCAAGAGTACTTCTTCAAGAGAAATCGCATCAACGCCTTCATTCTCCCTTTCTATGGATGGGTTTGAAGGCTGCCTGTCCCAGTAGTCTCTGAGGGCTGCCTCTATGTGGACTCGACATTCTTGTTGAGTTGGTGGATTAGGGACCCAGCTAGGTTTCCTGGTGTATTCTTTAAAAAAAATTTATTATAAGACATATATATAAAGTAATCAAATATTGTTAAAATTCAATCAGAAAGTTTCATCTTCAAATTCACAATCCGCAACTTACTTACCTATGTTATTTCAGATTTGTTAGTGTTCGGCATTTTATTTACTTTTATTTCCTATTAACAATTATTATATTTCAAAAAATATTGCCAACTTTCAATATTAGGTATTATCATTTGTGTTAGGAATTTCTATCCCTACAATAATATGCTTATAAACGTTTCATTTAGGTCACACAATGTGGTATATGAATTTGAAGATATAATCATGGTACACCTAAACACGCAAATTCCTTACTTTTCAATGCATCGCTCAAAATTCAGCAAGAAGTATAATATATTTGTCAATGTATTCTTTTATAACCGAGTATGTGCACATCTGAATCAAAAATTGTTTTTAAAGCACAGAATGTTTATATTTCATGAACTGCTCACGCAGGCCTTTTTTTTAGTATTATAATTGTTGTTAATTATAAAGCTACAAAATGGGCCATTGTACTCTGCCCCTAGCGAGCATCAAAACCCGATTTTTAACGTTATAAGACATCACACTTACCGTTGAGCCACCACCGAGGAGGGTAATGTAAATATCGATACAACTTTAAAAAGTTCATTTTTCCATTCTTTTCTACACAACTGAAAGATATAGCTGAAATGTCAGTCAGATATTATAATGCAGACTTTTACAAACAGAATAAGTTGATGTATTTATTTTTTCCGTTTTCACATTAATCCTATTATAATTATTTTCACTAATTTTTCTGACTTGTAAAGAAAAAAGCTTAGTTTCCGTTATGTTAATCATTTTCCAAACCTATCTTCATCCAGGAGAGTTGTTTTATACTCCAGTTTGGAGCTTTACTGTTGCTGGCCAATTGTCCTTTTGCTCAAATTATTGTTTCGGTTTTGGAATATTTAAAGACTCTTGGTATAACTACAACACAAAGACTAACTGCTTATTTATATTTTATATACGAGAAAACAAAACAGTTTCACATTTTATTCCTGTAATATAAGCAGGTAAAACAATCGTTTCACCAACTGGAAGCACTCTGCATTGTTAATCAAAATATTTCAGTACTTTTGAATCGTAGTGTTTTTGTTTGATAAAACTTGTTGTTCTTAAAAACTGTATTAGCATCTACTTTTAACCTCATTGGTTTGTAGAATATTTTCTTCACATCAGTTCATGAAATGATGTGCTTGAATTTACGAATATTTTACAAAGCTATACATACTATTTTAACACGAAGATAATATTTGTTTTCGAATTTCGCGCAAAGCTACTCGAGGGCTTTCCGCGCTGGCCGTCCCTAAATTTGAATTGATAGAAAACAAGATGTTGTTGCTTTAGCGCAAAGATGTTCAATTAGTTATCTGCATTTTATTCATTGCGGGGAATCAGACCCAGGGTTTTTAGCGATGTAAGCTCATAAAATTATCTTTAACTCAGCAGGAAACTCCCGCGTTGTCATTGACAAAATACTTCAAGATATGTTTCCAGAGTGAAACTATTATATAAAACTTTATGAAAAATTATAAAAAATACAAAACTTATCAAAACTTAAAATTTTAATTCGCTTGTTAGAGGAAGCAAAGCAAAACTTAGTTTTTCATAAAATTGGTAAAATATCCTTAAACAGTTTTTTATCAGTGTGAGGAAGGAGGGTTAAACATTTACCAAACATATACCGACAATTATCAGCAGTGGTCTCAGAATTATCCGAAAATATACAAATCTACAAATTACGTATTTATTAGTGATATACCAACAAATAAGACATCTGCCAACAATTATCAGCCACATACCAATAACGATAAGCCATTAATCACACATTCATTATAATCAGGATTCGGTTATATTTCAGCAAAAAACGGTGAAGTCTAAAAATATTAAAGTTTGTTAATAGTAATTAGACAGAAATATTTATAAGCCATAAAAATAAAAGGAATCACAACACCAAACGTAAATATAGTGGTAAACATCAGGTTTAATGTTCAGCAAAGAAACGCACAATATTTTTTCTACTGAATTACTTGAGTTGATCGAGTTATCTGTCAAATATAACATAAAGACAGAAAATTGTAAATAAAGTTTGAAAGCTGAGTGTACATAATAGGAAGGGTTTGTTTCTTTTATTTGTTGAATTTCGTGCAAAGTTACTTGAGGGTTGTCTGCGCTAACCGTCCTTAATTTTGAAGCGATAGAATAGAGGGAAGGCAGCTATCCAAATCACTCTTTACCAACGAATAGTGGGATTGAGCATTATGTTATAATGCCCCACCCACGGCTAGGAATGGGCGAACGTGTTCGGTGACGGGATTCAAACTCGCAACCAGCTTATTGTAAGTCGAGTTCTCTAATCACCAGGCCATGCCAGGTAAAGAAGAGGAAAGGAAACAACAAACGGTAAATATTGAGTCAAGCTATTTGAATACAGCTTTGTACTGTTGTGGTCTGGCACTCAGTGGGTTGATTTACCACCACCTAAACAAATCATAGGAGTCTAACTCGCAACCAGCATATTGTAAGTCGAGTTCTCTAATCACCAGGCCATGCCAGGTAAAGAAGAGGAAAGGAAACAACAAACGGTAAATATTGAGTCAAGCTATTTGAATACAGCTTTGTACTGTTGTGGTCTGGCACTTAGTGGGTTGATTTACCACCACCTAAACAAATCATAGGAGTCTAACTAGATTCACATATTCATTAGAAATTTTAAAGACAAATAGAAAACAAGAGAATTTGATAATTTTTTAAAAGATTAGACAAAGATGCTAGAAATTTCGTTATTATAAGGTTTATAATACTAATTGAAAAAAAAAGTAGGAGATGAAATAATAACATCCAATGATATTTAAGTTTTGTAGAAAAGTATATATACTCATAGTTAAAAACCTTGTGAATGAGGAGAAACGAGGATGGCTTGTACTATTAAGAGAGTCAGTTGGATAGGGAATCGGTTCAATTAGTCACAGGTCCTGGGTTCAATGCCTCAGTCCTGATTTTTTTTTTCTTCACTTATCGGCTTTTTCAATTATAATAATAATGTTCGTTCGAAACTTACTTTCATTGAGTCATATCTGAATACAGACTTAAGTCACACAAATAGATGCAGTGGTTTTGGTTGTTTGGTTAAGCCAAAGCTTCACAAAGGGGTATCTGTGCTCTGCCCATCACGGGTATCGAACCCCGGTTTCTAGCAGTATAAGTCCGCAGACATACCACTTTATATTTCAGTGGTTTTGATTTTTATTATTTTGAATATTAATTTCTTTAGTAACATTTTTACCATGATTAGATAGTCAATTAGGGAAAAAATTAATTATCTTATAACTGAGGGTGATATAAATAATGATAACAAGCTTTAATTATAAAAAGCATTTCGAAGCAATTGATTAGCCATTCAAATCTATACTTGATTCTGGGAACAATTTATAATTTCCATAAAGCTGAAACATTCGATGAAAAAAAAAACAACAGAAAATAAATTAAGCGCGATTTAAACTGTTATATCATATTTAAGATCCTATTATTCACTCTTTACGATTTGAATATGTGTTTCTTATACTGAAAATAATATGAAAAAATCAAATTAAAATATTTTATGATAACTTATCCCAACAATGAAATATGTTCTTGTTTGTTTATTTGAATTTATGCACAAAGCTACACAATGGGCTATTTGTGCTCTGCCCACCACGGGTATTGAAACCCGGTTTCTAGCGTTGTAAGTCCGCAGACATGCCGCTGTGCCACTAGGGGGCGAATATGTTCTATAAGCGAAATATTAATAAAGTACAAACAGTAATATCTCTCTGAAGGATCCTACTTAATAAGGTAAAATAACACTAATTTGGTCCTAAATATGTCTATAGAATGTTGTTGTTTTTTCTTTTCGCCATTGAGTTTGTTATATAGTCAAGATCGTATTGATGCATTCGGTGTGACGTCAGACACTTCGTGAAACACGTGATTATATTCCACTTACGCCGAAATGATAATTTTATCCTAAACTAAAAACTTTTTTAGTTACTTTGGCACTTCATTTAAGGGCTAGGATATTTTAAGAATATGTAGCGGTGAATTTTCGGTGGTTCTTTAAATAACTTATTCGTTAGCTTAAACGAGAAGAATTGCGTGTTTCTCACAAACTCTCTCTGATTAAATATTCGCTGAACAGAACGCATGCTCTATTTTATTAGTATTATTTTTAATAATACCACTTTGTAACCACTTCAGAGCCTAATGACATTGAGGAATCAACATAATAGAGGAAATCTCGTCACGATTTCTGTTTGTTTACTTCAAGCCTCAAGAGATTCAGTAGTGTATGGCACGTTGTATGCATGTGTAACATGTGTAAGCTATATTGTGTTTACACTGCATATGGATGATGAATAGCAGTTGCATATAAAGTGGATTAATTGGTATATACGTATAGAGAGAGACCTGAGAATTAAAGTTTAAGAAGAAAAACATATATCAGAACACATTGACAACACCTAACACTAAGGAAAGTTTTCCTTTACAAAATTGTTACCGTGGAGCATAATAGGATGGCTATAGAAAAGTCAAATTATAATATATATGATATTGTGACATCGTTAGTATATTATAAGCTTAATATAAAAGGTCAGGATGATATAAAGAAAGGTACCAGATAAACGTGCAGTTTAAAGCTTGGATATTAAGAAAATATAAGAATAACAAAAAATCAGTAATTCAGATAGATAGACAAAGAGATAGATAGATACTTAGATATAAAGACGAGTTAAGAACTCCATATATAAGAAATATCAAGAGGTTGAAAAAGTATGCAAGATTTCCAGTAAATAGCTATAGAAATGTAAAAAGAAAGTACAAATTTCGGATGGATAGAAATCAAGAGAAGACGTACAAAGTTAGTAAAAAGGCTCGTCCTAAACAAAATTAGAATATATACAAATAGATACCATAT